AAGGGGTTGAGGGGGAGGCGGGAAGAGACTGGACAAAAATCGTGCACCTATGGATGAGGACAGTGGGTGGGGAATAAGGGCAGAGGGTGGGATGGGAACTGGGTGGAGGGGAGCTATGGGGGGGGAAAAAGAGGAACAAATGTAATAATCTGAACAATAAAGATTTCATAAAATTTAAAAAAAATAAGCAAAGACACAAAGAGCAGAGAGAATAGCAAAAGGATAATATCCAGCATTAACATATATATAATAATTTTTAAAATATATAACTCTTTCTCAGTAGAACCACCAATTAATCTTTCAACACAGACAGTAGTAAAATGTTTTTAATACCACCCTTGCTAGAATGAAATAGTTTTTTTAAGCTGCAAGAGTTTAGTACCAATAACAAAGCTGTTCTATTAATGGGGTTAGTCATTTCAGTATATTTAACACCAGGTATAGTGGCAACATTTAGTCATTTGTGAGAAAAAACCTGCTACTCACTTCCTGGTATGCGATCATTTGTATCTGGTTCCTGATCTGCTTTTTGATCTGCTCAGAAGAGCGACATCGAGAATAAATACCATTTATTAAAAGAGACATGAAAGTAAAGCTCAAATGTCAGCTTCATGGCTGAGACTGCAGAATACAGCGGACAGGCGTTCAGCTTGCTTTCATCCGTTCCCCAGTGTGACTCTTCGTTAGCCTCGTTAATGTCTCCTGTTCAACTAAAAGTCCTGCATCCAGCATTGGAGCTGTTTAGAGTCTTTCCTCAGTTCACTAAGCCACACCCTTTAAAATGGAAAGAGCACTGGACTAGGAGTAAGGAAGCCAAGATTCTAGTCCCTACGCTCCCACTGACTGACTAGCTACAGGATCTTAGACAAGTCACCTACTTCCTCGGAGCTTTTCTTAGCTGTAAAAAAAAGATTAAACCCCCTTCCCCACCTACTTCTTTCTTTTTAAAATAGATTTTTAAATTAATTTTTAGAGAGAGATAGAAAGGGAGAGGGAGAGAGGAACAGCAATTGGCTGACTCCTGCACACCCCCTCCCAGAGATCGAGCCCACATGTACCCTGACCAGGAATTGAACCTGCAACCTTTCGGTGCATGGAAGGATGCCCAACCAACTGAGCCACACTGCCCAGGGCCCTCCCCCACCTATTTCAACGAGGTTGTTGTAAACATAAAATGAGAAAGACAAGTCTGTTACATAAAAGTAAGAAATTACCTCTGAGGAGCTCTTGCTGCTTTTATATGGGAAAGCTCAGTGAATATACATTTTTATTATTATAGTGAAGGCAATTTAGAAAACAAAATTCCAGCATACAAAGATAAATTATACATTCGCATCAATGCTGAACTATAAATATCAAACTCATTTCCATCCCCCCCCAGAAGGCATTATTACCCTATTCATTTTATAACTGAACCAAATAATACCTGACCCACTGACAAGCTTCGAAATCTTCTGACTCCAGAATCAGTTACTATTACCCTCCATCTATTTGCAGTTATTTACATGAGGGGAGGCAGGATCCCCACTTTTGTTCTGGGACCCTTTCCTTAGAATTTAAAGCTTTCCTGGGTATGCCCAGGAAGATCTATATGCTGAGGCATAAAAATCAAATACAAGAATAATTTAACCCAGGAACCCACTGTCCCCTTCCTGCCTTCAAAGGGAGTTTTGCAGGTCAGAGTAGCAAAAATCAGCTCCTACCCATGGAGATACAATTTCCTATTTATAGAAACCCTGGCTTCCCAAGGACCTCGGAGGCTATCCTCAAAATGCTATCCCTAGCAGTAGCCTCAGGAATACAAACAGTTCGTACCCAGTCAGAACCGTTGTACAATAACTTAGGCACCATTCATCACAGAGTGGCAAATGACGTATCTCTTTTATCCAACAGCTGTGTCCCGGTGACTGCCCAAACCACCCAAAGCCTAACACACAGACAGACATGCAGATACATAAAGATATTTACCATCGTCAGCACTACGCACTAATTCTTCTGGCAGATTATCTATTTTTGCTTGATCTGTTCAGGAGAAATTAACACACGGTTAACACGGCTGACCCTTGGCGAGAAAGAACAATGAGATTGTCCCCGAAAGCCCCGGGAGTTGGAAGCAATTAGTCAAGATGCAGTGAGGGGTGCAACCAAGATGTCTCTCCCAAAATACTTTCTCTGTAGATGAGCTGCTTGGGCCAGTGCCATAGCGGGAGCTCCCGTTTCAGCTCCGATGCAGCTTACATCAGCACACGGCTGCGCACGGACTCCCGCGGGTTAGGAGGTTAGTTTGGAGCAAGCAATCGGCGGGCAGCAGGAGAAAGCACGGGGCTGCAACAAGCCTCTCTATTCTTCTAGAAAGGGTACAATGCTGGCCACGACTCACACCTTCCCAAGGGCACGGTCACTAACAAGCATTTCTGTGCCCGCATCACCATTTGTGTACGCCCCTGGGAGCCCTGCTGGGAAAGCCAACTGAAGAGATGTGACTGGGGACCAGCTGCTAAGTGGAATCTTGGCAGGCGACAGTGAGTGTGGGTATCGGCATTTGGAAGGGAGCGCACAAGAATACCCGTCCGCTGATGATCATTTTTTTTCTTAACCCTACACATTCCTGAGCACTTTACAGCTGCACCATGGAAATAGCCCCATGTTTCATAAATAAGAAGTTTGCCACATCGAACAATTGCTAAGTTGTTTTGTTACCACCCCCCACCCCCCTCCCAGGGCCCAATCACTAACATCCGGAAGAATAATCAGGGCTGTAACTAACAAAGGGTCGGACTGCCTTCTCTGCAAGCATTCAGGCGGATGTGGGGGTTGGCCACCTGTTGAGGAGGCTTTGGAGGGAATTCCTGGATTGGGGGGGAGTTTGGAATGGGTGGCCTTCAAGGTCCCTTCCAACCCTGAGATTCCAAGATCTTTGGCAGGGTTAGGACTGCATGCCAAATTGGGAATACTGCCTTTGGAGCCCTGGGAATCTCTGAATTTTAGAAATTGTTTAGTGGAGTGTTTCCCAACCCCGCCTCCCCCTTTTTCTTTTCCTTTTAAAATTCTGACCTCTTAGTCTCAATTGCAGATGCTTAAAAAGTATTCTGAACATGACAATGGTCCACTTTTGATCCTATGAATTTGACAATGATTAACTTTCACCCAATAAATTTTCTCATGATCATCTGTAATCCTGAGGGTGTATTTTAGCTTAATAACAATAAGAACAAAACCCCTAGAAGTCATCATTTCTACATCCTTTTGTCTGGCTCACAAGTCCCTCTATTCATTATGTACTCTGTTAGTCCTCAAGACATCGTTCACCCATTACAGCGGCAGCAGCGGGGAACAGTATGCCTCAAGTGTTGCGTGTCAGGGAGTCTTTGGGCTTATCGTTCCAGTGTCAAAAAGAAATGCATGAAAAGAAGGGATAAAAGAGAAAGGAAAGTCCTTAAAGCCAGGGACTAATTCATCTTCATATCATGCAAAATTCATCCGACATCCAACACTGTCATAAATACTCTTTACAACATTCTGTTGTTGATTCTGGGCCCTAGCTCTGCCGTGTGATACTATGCACGTTACTCTACCTCTCTGAGCTTCATTGTCCTCATCTACAAAATAGGGATAACAACTTATCCCTCACAGGGTTTACTCATGCCAGATAAATAAAATAACACATATAAAACGCTTAGCCACGTCTTGGCACACTCTACTCAGTAAATGTTAGTTATTACTGCTAGAATCACTAGCTACCACTATCTTTTAAAACTCACTCTACTTGAGTAAACACTCAAACTGGGGTTCTTCAATGCAAGGAAACCTGGTGTTCCAGTAAGCAAACGTCATGCATTACTTTAAAGGCCAAGTTCCAGCCTCTTCGGCTCACTTGGGAAGGTCATTCTCATCTGTTAAGCGCCCCTTACGGGTTCCAGTGCACAACAGCATGCAGTGAGGCCACAGAGGAGCACATATGCATTTTTAAGCTTAGATGGGGGCGTGGACAGTGGCGCAAACTGTATTCTCACTTGATGAATCTGATGAAATGTCTTCTAGACTTTTGGAAGGCATTTTCCTAGCAGCACTCCTTTCCAAAGTTTTCAAAACAGGACTGGGTTCTTCCTCTGAACCTGTTGTAAGACAAAACCGATGAACACTGCACAATACAAAAACACACACCACCAAACTCTTAATAACCAATGGATATGGAAATGGTAGGTTAAAAGGAGGCATTATGCCATAAGCCTCTATACGTTTGTTTACTCTATGAAGCACTTCACAGAAGAAAATAAAACATCTTCATGAATAGGAGGTCCTTAAAAAAAAAAACAATGTTCTTGGTCAAAAAATATTTGCAAACATAAATCATTCAGAAACAAGACTGCCACATTAATAGAAATGTGATCTCCTAGTCTTCCACACCTCTATTTTAGGCACATGATTTGTTCTGTGCCAGGCTTTGAATCTTTCCACTTCATTTCTAGCTTTTGAAGATAGCCACAAAATGGTTTTGGAAGCATTAAAAAAAATTAGCTGAAAACCATAGAAGGCAGGATCCAGATGTTTAACATCTGTGTATAATCGAATATACAGATGGCTGAATTCTCCAGATCAACAGATGTAGGCTTTTGGGGTTTCATGAGCTCATAAAATTTCCATCAAAATACTGGAAAATGACACGAGACAGTCAACTTTTTATTTTACTAAGGCATTTTAAAAGGGGGTGGTTGTGGCTCTATCACCTACTAATGCCTTTTCTTTATAAAAGGAGGACCAAAGGAAAGAAAAAGGGCATAACCTCAGTATATAGATAACTAAGTACATATAACCTTACAAGAAATCTCTCTAGACAGTCCTTAATTGTTCTATTTTGATAATAAAAACTCCATCATGGATGACCCCTGTCTGCATACTGTCATTTATCACTGCTACATTCTCAATGCCTACACAAGCAGTTGGCAAGAGGCACTTCAAAAATGTTTGCTAAACCAATGACTAGTTCCATTAATGAATCAATAAATTTGGAACCATTTCTCTAGATAATACTTTACGGAAATGCATCCCAGTTCCGCCCAATGTTAAGAGGCATTCTACAGCAAATGGATTCTAAGATGAATTAGACTTGGGATGCTCTGTGTTCAAATTTAAAAGGGTTCTCTTTACAGACCTTCTTGGAGACTTTAATGCAAATAATGTGCAGTCTCCCAGCATTTCCAAAAGTATCTGAGCACAAAATCCCCCTCACCTCCCTTCCTCCAAGGAGCACATAGAGGTATTGGTTAGCTGAGAGCTGAACCACAAGTCAAAGGTGTCAGGCTGTTCACCAAAATTGTGGTGCCTTTGTAGCCAGGTTCCCCTCTACTCTCACCTTACTCCACCTACTTGTTTTAAAACATAAAACTACAACTATACCTTTTTGTATCTTTTATATCACTTACAATTTTAAAATAACTTCTCTGGGCTCTGTCCAGGCTATTGTTTTATATTGTTATTTCATTTGTAAATTGGCTTTTTGCTCTTCAGCCAGTTATGCTGGTGTACTCTAAACACAGCTATACACACTAGGCAACAGTCTCCAATGTCAGTGCAATTGTATAAGCTCTCCCCCTCCTATGGGTCAGTTCACCGTAGAAACTCTTTGGGGTTAGTTTAGTAAAAGTCTACTTCAGGTTTAACCTGCTGACTTACACTCCTGCACATGTCTGGTTTCAGAGACTGGTATTTCGCTCTCCTTTTCTTACCAGAAACATTTGTTTAAGGGGCTTCAACTTGATAAATAGGGCTAAAAATGGATTCTTTGGTCAGTTTTCAAGAGGCCCTACGGCTACTTGCCAAGGAGCCTAAACCTCACAAGTCAGCCACTCAGCAAAGCTTATTTATTCTGAGACTGAAGGAGCTAGAAAATGACAAATCCTACTAAACGACTAGGAAGGTGATCAACGTTACATGTGCAGCTTTGGTTAACATGTCCTGCTAGGGAGCATCCGTTATCACTTCATCACTCTAATCAGGTAACTTCTCATTCCTATTTGCTCCTGGGTTTCTTGGCCAAAACGCCTGTGTTGATCAGAAGAGCAAAACTGAGACAACCCTATGTTTTATCGCCTGGCTGAAACCAATACCCACAATTCCCCTTAGATGAATGCGGCAATCGATTAAGATCTTCATCCACTTAGCCAAGGCTGGAGCCAAAGAAATTCATCAGGCCAGGCAATGCCCTTGTGTGGGACCAAAGTCATACTCTAGAACGGGAAGATGCTGAAGATAATTGAAAACGAGAGGGAGAGCGTGGCAACAAAAAACCTCAGCACAAAGTATCTGAGGAAAAGAAAGTTCCAACTTGCACTTGGTTCCTGGTATTTAGCCACTACGGTGGGAAACTATTGCTCCGAAAAGGGAAATTTGTGCTCATCTGTGGCAATTTCTTGCCACAAATCTTAGTAGAGATCTCTGTTTGGATTGCCAATTATGAAAGAAATTCTAATTACTTCCAGGAGGAAAACTAGCTTGAATGTTAGAGGTAGCTTCTAACACTCCCCACCCCCACCCCCAATTCTTTAAAAATATTTTTGAAACTTAAAAGTTCTACTGTTGATTCATGAGAATAAAGTAAAATTTTAAAACACTGCCCTGTGCATAAAACTATCTGTATATAATTTATTTGATTAAAGATTATAAAAGGAAATGTAGTTTTTATGAAGAAAGGCTAGGGAGAACTGAAGTGATAAGAAGAATTTAGCACTTTTGGGGGTGGCCAATCAATTCCAGTTTAGGAAGCGCTACCATCCTTTACATCGTCATTCCATAAATCGACTAAGTAACCAATGGGTTAAACATGTCAAAATGCTCACTGGAGGTATTTCTCCAGCTTTCCGCATTAGAACCAATGTTTCCATCTGAAAAATCAGAGTCAGAGACACCTTCTTTCTCTTCCTCTTGTCTCTTGTAAGGTGATTCCCGAATCAGTTCGACTTTACTTGTCTTTGTAGAGTTTTCCTTGTTGGTCAGGAGAGGAACAGGTTGCCTATTTCTGGACACACTAATTGCGTCGGGACCCTCCCCGCAGCCAGGCTCCTGAAAAGCCCCTTCTCGAACCCCGGCAACTTCAGTTTCACTCTCCCCGGGCTCCGGGGGCTTTGTAGTTTCAATGATCCCTATTTCATGGTCCACAGAAAGGGTTCCAGGGACCTCGGCTCCACTCTCATAACCACCGACATCTATTGACAAATCACTCACAGCTTCTCCTCTCAACCCTTTATCCTGTGGGTTGACTCGAGATTCGAAAACATTACTCTTAAGCTTCATTTCAGGGGCCTCTTGGGTTCCCCCCAGAAACCTGGCTTGCCCTGACTCAGAGGTCTCCTCCTTGGGAGTTCCTTCCTTCCCTGACACCCGGGGCTCATAAGGAGGAGCTTCAGATGTTTCTCTAAGGAGTTTCTCAAAACCAATATCAAAAGCGCTCTCAGTTATTGCTGGAGCCTCAGCCTTTTGTACTGTTTCTTTTATCTCCTCGGGATGGAATCCAGAAGTGGCTGGCCTGGGCACCTCAGTACAACCTGTCAACTTGGATGGAGAGGGCATCCCTGTCTTGCTTTCAGATTTTGAGGAGAGAGTCTCAGTTGCTTCCTTCAGCAGTTTCTCTAAGCCGGCCCTGAGTTCAAGGGGCTCTGATTTAGGTCGAATAATTGTCTCCCTGACAATTTCTGTCACTTCCTGAGGTGACTCTTTGCTGTACTGAGCAACAGTAGAGCCAAATGAGAGAGGGATTTGTTCTGAAAGAGTCACTGGGGCTGCTAAATGAGAGGCAATGTCATGAGTTTTATCAGGAGCTGCTACATTGAAGGAGTCAGCATCCTTTCTGTCTGGGATTGTAATGTCCACTGCAGCTGATGGTGGGATAACTCCAGGAGAACTTTGGAGGCTACCTGCTGCTTGTACTCCTTCCGGAAATTCTGCTTTTACTTCTCCAGGAACGACTGCCCTCCCAACTGGATAACTCAACGTAGCTTCCCTAAGCAGCTTTTGCAACACAACACTGACATCATTCAAGGCAGATCTGGGCGGAACGATGACTTTTTCCACCGTCTCGGAAACTTCTCTTTGCGGAGGTAGTGCCATATCCTGGGGAGCAAGATGAGCATCGCTAGAAGAAGGCATATCTTGGGGAGATTTGGCTTCAATTCCCAAAGAACCCTTTCTGTGAAGATGGGGAGGTTGGTTCACTGGGTGAGAACCTCCTGCAACCATCTGAAACAAGTTTTCCGAGTTTAGCTGGTACTCACCACTTTCTGCTTGCGGGGGGAGAGCTGTCTTTCCGAGAGTTTCTTGCCCCCCTGGAAAAGGAGCTATGATCTCTCTCTGGTGGGCTGATGAGTTGTGACTTCGTTCTACACCTTTTTCAAAAACTCTCTTCTCTCCATGCTCAGAGTTGATCCGAGGGGTGATGGGTTCCAACTTAGTTTGCAAGGGAGAGGGTAGAGTCCCAGTTCCTTCCTTCAGGAGTTTATCTAGACTGGCAGCCCAAGTGCTTGGTTTGACCTTCGGAGGAGCTACTGTTTTGTCTACCTGCTCATTAATGATGTCCAGAGGTCCTTTGGCTGCTTCCTCAGTATCTGTCTTCTGAGGCCATGCCCTATTTTCAGAAGCACCTGGTTCAAGCACTTGTTTTCCGTGAACTTTTTCACCAGAAGGTGGGATTGCTGGTGACGAAGCTTCTGAAAGTAGCTTCTGTAAGCTGTCATTAAAAGTGTCTTTGTAGTCTTTAGACAAAACACGTGTTTCCACTATGGATTCTTGAACCTCTTGTTCTGAGCAATCCTTTTTTTCCTTGAACACTGGCGTAGCCAACCATTCCATATTCTTTTGCACATTTTCTTTTGATGACTCATTTCCTGGCAACTGATGAGTGGACTTTGTGGGTGGTTTCAATGGAAATGTGCTTTCAGGCGGTAATACCTGGAGTGTGCCCTTTGAATTTATTCCCTCTATTTCCTCTGCTGCTGGAACTTTTGGGGGGCTTACAAATGTCTCGATTTCATGGGCATTTTCTCCTGATGATTTGAGGTCACGGGGTTCTTTGTGTTTCTGGCTGTTAAAAGGCACAGAATCTTTTTGGCTTGTTTTGGTGGTATTTTTCTCAACATTATCCTGAATGTTTGAGTTGGCTCCTAAGTCCCAAAACTTTCTCAAATTCTCAAATTGAGAGTGATTATAAACTTGTTCTGTACTGGGTTCATCCATTCTGTCTTTTAGGGACTTAACTTTAAAGTTGGGATTTGATTCAGCAATTCGAGATCTGTCTTTCTCCAAAGAAGCATGTATTTCACTCCCGGCATTTGAAGGATGCTGCAGTACCGGCGAAGAGATGTCTCTTCCAGAATGTGAACGGTCCGCCACTGGCGGTCTTTTTACAGGCTCATTTATCTTATTCTGAAAGAGAGACACTTTATCTGATTGGTCAGCAGAACGGTAATTTTTGGATGGACCTGATATTTGGGCTCTGGTCTCTTCAGGTTTATTTAAGGAATAAAAACTGGAGATATGAGCTACTTGGCCATCCTCATCTAGGACCACTTTTTTGGCAGTGACCTGATTATACTCATTCTGGCCTGTAGATATATTGTCCATGGACCTCCCAGGCTGATAGGCTGTAGCAGAAGGTTGTCCCTGACTGTGTGAAGATGTGGGTTCCTTCTGAGTGAATCTGGCTGCAGCCTTCTCACCTTCCCAAAAGGATATTCTGTCACTCACTCTTTTGTACGTCTCTCTTTGCACTTGGTCCTCGGGAACCTCACCAGCTTCTTGTGGTAGTTGGACCTCAGTCTTCTTCCAAGGAGACTTGTTGCTGGCAACTCCAGGGAGCAACTCAATATTCTCTGGCTCTACGGAAGCTTTCGGGATATAAGTATCTCCTCCTTTACTCTCTCCCCCTGCCTTCGTGTTGTCTTTTGAACTTGGTTCTTTGACAATTTTTGCAGAGTCAAAATTCACCTCTGAGTTTCCTCTCTCTTTTTCATAAACACGAAGCTTGGGCTCTTCTTTACCTAAGCTGCCAACATCCTTAATGTTGCATGGAACTTGGTCTGCTGCATCAGATTTATTGAGAGCACTGTAGGGATAGTTACTGGTTCGATGAGGTATCCCATTTCCTGCGTCTTTGTTTTTTGAAGCTTGGCTATAGTCCATAGTTTTACTCCCTTGATTTGGACTGTAAGTTTCAAATGGTTGCAATATGCCTGGACATTCCTTGCCTTGTTGGGACAAATGAATAGATTTGGGATTGATATCCACATTACTATGTTGGCAATTTCCAGGAGGCAGCACATGTCCCTCTGCCCGGAACATCGAATCAGACCCCATAGGCATCAATTTAACTTTGGTGGAGAGCAGAGTCTTTGAGCCCTTGTCTTTTAGACTGATGTCATCTGTCACCAAGGCAATAGTAGCCTGTGATTTTGAGTCTGCTTTTTCTTTGGGCTCTATTCCTTGGGGATGTTGGAGAGGTGACTTATTGTCATCTAAATGAGAACTTCGGTTAAACCAGTCAAGGACTTTAGATATGGAATCATCAGTTGTCTTCCTTATCTCAGTGGCATGTGGACCAGAGCGTGAGAATGTCTTAGGTTTTAGGGCCTTGAGAAGAGGAGGCTTACCTTGCTGATGGTCTCTAGAGCTGCGATCTGGCACCTGAGAAGGCTCAGGCTCAACATGAGACCGTTCATCTGCAACAGAGAAATGCTTTTCTAAATAAGAAAAGAGAATGCTTAAAGAATTATTATTCAACCACTCACAGTATCTTTAAAAAAGGCACTATGTGTTTACATGCTCCACACTACTAGCTTTTTATATCAGCCTTTTGCGGGGGTTATAATGTAAACCTTACTAATTAAAATATTCTGCCAAAGATGCCCTCTGACACAGTGAAAGAAGAGACATGTAGACTCCTGAAAGTATGGGGTATACACCAAAGTGGGAAAATTTCTTTGAAGTCTTTGGTTTATTTAAAAAACTCATGTAAATTTTGTATTCTGCTCCATGTTACATTCTATATATTCATTTTCTCTCACTTTCAAATTTTTGCATAAAACTGACCTTCTAGGAAGATACACCATGTTGGTTTTATGACCGCACCTATCCACTAGCACACTCATAAACCCTGGAGGATTTATACCCAAGTTTGAGGAACATAGACTTAGGAGATTTCAAGAGTTGGAAAAACTACTTTCAAGGAAGATTAAACAATGAGTTCCCTCCAGAATAGTAGAATGCAATGATGAGGATATTTGCACTCCTGGGTCACACTCCTGATCTATTAAACCAGAACCTCTGAAGATGGGGCCCAGGAATCTTTACTAATAACTACCCCTGCCACTGTCTTACACGCTGGAGTTTTAGGACCAGGATCTCAAGATTCCCTTTCATTATCCCCAATTCCCCTCCTATAATTTGTGACTTACAAGTAGTTTTTATGAGCCAAATAAACTAAAATGAGGACTGATGGAGAATGTGATCTCTACCTGATGTTGGCTAACCAATGGCTAAGAGGCTAGAGAAAAATACTGAACTTCTTTCTAAGCCATCAAAAAAGCAGAGAGATCCTTTCTGAGCTTTAATCACAGGGCACAGGGAACATTTAGAAAAGGGAACTCAGACATTCTTCCTCTTTGGTTAAGATCCAGGTGTTTCTGCCTTTTCCCCTCTTCCTTATCGATGCTACACTAAGTAATACTTGTTCCTGAAGATTAGGTGAGCTGAATTTTTATGAAGTCAGCTACATTTAAATGCACTAGAGGGGATATTAGTTAATAAAATTATGTTTTTATTCATCAACTCTGGTTAAATATTTTAAAAAAACCAAAGTCTTATACAGTAATTGGCACATAGTAGGTATTGGTTTGCTTCTTTACCTACACTTTGCACTATTAAATACAGTAATAATTGTGAAGTATATTTGAGAAATCTATACAAATTCCGTTAGTCTGTTTAACAGAAAACTACTTAAAGATGAAAAAATACTTGTAATATACTGTTGCTGAAAAAAGAAGTCCAGGCAGTATAAACATAATTAAAAATTGTATTCATGCCTGAAAATTATTGAAAAGCTCTACAAAAAAAATGTTAGCAATAGTTCAAATAATGGGTAATGACATCACAGGTGATATTTGTTTTATTCTTTGTGCATCTTTTCTTCTTTATTTTTTAAATAAAGTGAGTTACAGGGAGTGATGGTAAGAGGAGCCAATATTGCTTCTATCCCTTCATTTCTGGATCCCATATATTTTAGCTATTGAGGTATTGCACCATTTATCAGCTGCTGGCTCTGTCCATCCTAGGGCATTTCTTCTTTTAAAATGTTTTACAATGAAAGTTTATTACTTTTAAAATAAGAACAGTTATTGTAAAAATTGGATGCAGGTAATGTTTTGTTTCCTTTAAGGAATTCTTTCGTTTTGTGTTTTCTCCAGGATGAGTGTGGTGTTTACTTCCTGAAGCTCAGAGCTAAAGTCAAACCCTTATAATTTACAGAGATTTTCCTTTTTTTCTGTCCTGATTCTTTTTATGCTCCATTTTTTACTTTATATTTTTATGGTAAGCAGGAGAAAAGCAGGACTTTGTTTATAAGCTCTGAGGCCAGAAGGCCTGTCAAACTGATGATGGCTTCCCCCCAACGTTCATGGTCGGTTTCTATTTAAAAGTCAGAAAGCACAAATAAGTAGTTAATACAAAATGTCAAAGATATTCTTTGAAAGCAGGTGCAGTCTGAAAACCAGAAAAGATTTACCATATTTCTTCTATGGATTATAATAATGGAAAATATTCCCAAAGAAATATCCTTCAACTTTTGAACAAACATTTAAGTAAGTGTCATCCAATTATTTGCTAATAATTACTCAAACTTTAATAATTTCCTTTAATATGAATGCCTTTATTTCTTGAAGAAGCGCCTGTTGAATTTTTAATTTAAAAAATTCTGTTCTGTTCAAATGATTTTAAATGTCCAGGGGTAGGGGTGGTGAAAATGCTTTGACCTTTAAAAAGTAGTTTTCTGAACAACTATGAAAACTGTAGAGCTGAGCAAAAGTGACTCGGGGTTAACTCAATACTGACTAATAAGGAAGAGTGTGAGCTGATGGGTTAGAAACTTGACTGTTGTTACTGTAAATATTCCTGACAATAAAGAAATAATCACAGCCCTGGCCAGTTGAGCTCAGTGGACAGAGCAGCGGACTGTCCCAGATTCGATTCCGGTCAAGGGCACATGCCCGGGTTATGGGCTTGATCTCCAGTGTGGGGCGTGCAGGAGGCAGCTGATCAATGATTCTCTCACACATTGATGTTTCTATCTCTTTCTCCCTCTCCTTTCCTCTCTGAAATCAATAAAAATATATTTCAAAAAGAGAGAAATAATCACAGGGTTAGATGAAGACTTATTAAAGATGGGTGAGAGTACACAGAATGATTTTCACCAGTGTTTCTGTTTTTTAAAGCATAAGAATTATGAAGTAATCATATAAGTATGGGAAAGCAGTTTGAGGCATCCCCTGAGAGTTGTAGAATCTTCGAGAGAGAGAGAGAGAGAGAGAGAGAGAGAGAGCTAGTTAGCTATTTGGCAGGAAAGGCAGCATTCTTATTGCCTCTCAACTCACACCAGCTGGAAGAGAAAGTTCCTTTGGAGTTTTTAAAGGACAAGAACAAATGGCTGGAGGCCTTACGCAGGCCACAGTAAGTGCTCAACGTCTACTTTCCTATCCTTTGAGGATAAGAAATTGAAGTTTCTCTTGTGATAAAAAGAGAAACCAAAGTTGGGTTAAATGGTAATTAACATTTGAACTAGGTAAGTAATAATAATATATATATATATATACTCCATAAAAAAGTTATTAGCATATCTTTAAATCTCACCCTGTATAAAAACCTTGATATAACTCAACACATAGTAATTTGTTTAAATAATTGATATGATTACATTTTTAGGTTAAAACATAATGGGCCAGGAACTGTGCTATCCAGGTTCTTTTCATTATTAGGTGGTTGAGGAAAATCTACAAACCCATGAAGAGGTATAAGCATCCCCCAGCGGCATCTGCCTGAATCACCGCTGGAATGGCCAGGAAGCCAAACGCAGCTTCTACAAGGCTGGCCGGCCTAGCTGTTCCAAGCCCACTGGCCAGTGCTTAGAACGTGGTAGTGACAACTCTCTTACCAGCAGGGCTTTTGTACAATTCCGATTCAAGCCTTGATAATTCTGACGATTTAGCTTTGTGTTCACTGATGGTGGGTGAATTCTCACTGGACTGTGGTCTTGCAGGTAAAACTTCCGAGGGAGAAGGCTGCCCGTTACTGGGAAAAGGACCAGAAGTCTTTGGCTGATGTGTTTCGTGTTTCAATGCACTTGGGCTTGAGGCTGATCGAGGTAAAGGCAAAGGCTCTCTGTACTGTGAGGGCGTAGGGTCCTTCCAGAACTCATCCTGGTCCCTGGCATCTTCTGTTCCATTCTTCAACCTGTTGGATTCTAAAACACTGAACTCTCCCACTTCCCGGCCTTGGATGAGCCCAGGACTCGGTGGGAGCTCCTCCTTTACCGCAGAGAACCTCACTTGCTTCAGTGGCTCCTGTGCGCTGGAGGAGGACTCGTCTTCTAAAGAATGCTCCTTCTCAGAGATCCTCTCGTGGATGGTTAGGCCCGGTGACCCAATCTTGCTTTTGGGTTCAAAGCCCTGGTGGAAACGAACAGTGTCTGAGTCCGTGCTGCTGGAGCTGGAGTTGCGCTTCAGGATCCCTCTCGGAGGCCCTCTGGCCTTCAGGGAGTCTGTCCTTTGTCCAGGAAAGGACTGGTTATCATCCTGCTTTAGATCATGCGATTTGTTGATCATTTTCCTGGCTTTAGGGATTGGGGGTTTGATGTGGGATCCACTCTCAGGGCCTGGAAAAGTCTGCTTTGGTTTCTCTAACTTTTGGCTTGAAATATCCAGGATAGATGACTTTTCTTTGGACTCTGATAATTCACCTGAAAATTATAACACATTAGGTTCTTTTCATTATTGGTGGACAGTAATGTATAATTTAAAATACCTATCAGAAACTTTATCTATATTTAGCAAAAGTATTAAAATATTAAAGACAATAAAGTATGTGGTATAAATGCCGACCTAATTAAAAAGCCTTTTTAGCATGCATGTACTTCATTGAACTGTACACTTAAGATTACTGTTATTTACACACATACTTTGTGGTAGTTTATACTCAATAAAAACATTTTTACAAAAAAAAACAATTTAAAAAATTCCTCATGGAGGCGAAGGAAAAACACAGAAGTCACTTCAGTAATTTATACGTGAAAACCAGAAAATTGAACTCAAATAAAATACAACTCAATACCTAGAACAAAAATCTATTTTGTTAAATGTTTAAAAAGGTAATGTATTCCAGTGACTTTTTTCTGTATAATATTTTATGCTATGAAAAGTATTCCCACTGGACAGGGGAGAAAACACTAATATTGCCAAGGCTGGTGTGGCTCAGTTGGCTGGAATGTCATCCCATCCACCAAAAGGTTTTGGGTTTGATCCCTGGTTGGGGTGGGTACTTGAGGCAACAGATCAATGTTTCTCTCTGTATATTTCTTTCTCTCTCTCTCTGTCTCTGTCTCTCCCTTCCTCTAAAAATCAATGAAAACATATCCTTGGGTGAGGATTAAAAAAGAAAATACAATAATATTAAAACAGGCTAACTGAAAGTTCTAACTTCACTTTCAGTTGTTAATTTTCTACCCTTTGGCCAATCTTTAATGTTTGTGAAATTTTCTTACAGTTACTTTGTCTAGCATTTTCTCTTAGGGAGAAGGGTAAAATTCTGTAAGAGGCAGACTTACATTCGTTCAGTCACAAACCTGACCTAATGCTCCTGAGAGATTAGGCTCATGATTACAGGTTAGAAGATCATGACATTGGCAAGTGGCCTTTTTCTTTTAAGGCAAACTTTACATTTTCAACAGAACTGTGCTTACTTATGGTAGGCATCCAATAAATGCTATCGATGAGTGACTGACTGCCTCTGGTCCAAAAATTTCCCAGTTCACTGAAGGGGAGCCCGAGGCATAAAGGTTACACCAGTGTCAGCTCCAAGACTGAAATGCATGAACCTCCAGCCTCTACAGTTTCTGCTTCCTTCCCTCCGTCAGGAAACCAATGGGCACAGCAGAATAAGAAAACCATCAGGACCTTCCACCTTGTCTAAAAAGTTATTTTAGTTAAAGGAACTCTGAGAATTTCCCTTCTCACAGATAACACAGATAAAAATATCTAGTCCATAAAAATAATATTTACCCTCTTTTGAAGTCTGAAAGAAACCAGTCCTTCCATTTCTCGACTGCTCGTTTTTGGTTTGTTGAGATAAGTGATCTTCTGGCAACTTGGAGCTATTAAATGGATTCTTCCTTTGCTGGGGAAAAACATTGTTTATTAAACTCATTTTCAATGTCATAACAGCAACTCAGTGTTAGCAAATGCTTCTTAGCTCCAATACTTGATAGTTTTATCCAGTAAAATCTATCTGGCATGTTTGAAAAATGTTTACCATGGTTAATCAGGGTAACATTACAATACATGTCATACAAAAAGATAAAATTATTATATAAAATATACTCAATTCCAGAGTTCTATACCATTGGACTAGAACCAGGCATTCAAATCTATATTTCACATTTGACAGAGCTGAGAAAACTTAGGCCTGGATATATCGAAGAGCTGGTCATGGTCAAGGTAAACCTGAAACTCCAATAAGGGCAGGTTTCCACCTGCCCTTATTTATCAGTGCTCTTTCTACCAGTGAGACTCTCATTGTGCTAGAAATCTGTACTATAAATATAATTGGAACTGACCTTTTCTATAAGGATTTAAAAGAAACTTATCAAGATATTTTGAAGTATTTATAGTCACTATTATAATTATCAATTATAATGAAAAAAAGGGTATCAGTAAACAGAATTTTTAAATTAACATAAGACTAAATATCAATGTTTACTGTCTCTAGGTTCATAAATTGGCAATTCCCTCCCCCAAGCCAACCTCTAACAGAGTCAGGAAGTTATGATAGGAATAAGAATTCACACAGCACTAACAAGCCACATTCCGTAAGCTTAAAACAAGCAGCCCCCAATAGCTTCACACCTTTTATTCCCTAGGGCAAGAAATTTGGGTCTTCAACATGATATACCAATAACATGGTATTCATTAACTTTCCTACCACAAGAGTGACTTCTATGTTAAATAGTAAACATTATCTGTATCTGGTATAAAAAAGCTACTACAAAATCTTCTTTATTTCATATTGCTTTGATAAAAGGAGAAAAATGCCATTCCTGCCAAAAGTAAGAGTTCCGAAGTCTGAGCTCAGTCTACCTTAGCTGAAGAGGCAGCGGAGTTCCTGGAGTTTTCCTGGGACGTATCAATCATGGTGGAAGCTGGATCTGCCACGCTGGGACTGCAAAGAAACAATGATGCAGAGAATAAGACCTCACCCTTTGTGGAAGCATAAATCATGCCTCTGAAGCCAAAAGCTATTAAGACAGGATAGGAGAGGAAGTTTGTAAGATCAAACTGGCAGGAAGGGAAGGGGAGTTGAGCCTAGAAATGATTAAGCAGGGAAGCAAAGGAAATGGCAGAACAGAAATGAAAGATCAGCATGAGACAAGTCAAAAGAACCATCGGAAGTCCTGAAGTTTATATCACGGTGCCAGGCGCACAGGGGTTCACCATTTAAATGTATAGAAATGAACTTGTCTCAAAGTCAGGAGCTAACATCAGATGCAGACAAAAATGAGCAAATGATCTCAAGGAGGAAACATGGTTGCTGAAATATAGCTCCAAAGAGTTTTAGGGCCTGGTAGCAAACACCAAAGAGAAGATGCAGGTGAGACAAGTGACTCAGAAGGAACAGAAGGAACAGCAGATCTAAGAGATTCTGTGCAGGAAGGCTGAAGGATTTGGGCAACTTACTGAGAACTTTCGGCCCAACTCTCCAGGCTGGCCAGGTGAGTTCTTGTTCATATACAAGAGGGACAAGGACACACACAGATCCAGAAGAAGGTGGGAGGTGAGAAGCCTAGAGATGGCTGAGAGGAGTGGGAAAGATTCTCTAGACCATGATTCCTTGCTGGAAGGACTGGACAGACCCAGGTGAGAGTTGGGAGTGAAGGGAGAAAAATGAGTTGAGCAGGCTCCCTCCTGAACAGCCACTCCCTTGGCTATTTAGTAAGAAGGGCAAAAGAGGGTCACAGTGACTCTGGAGGGGGAGGAAAACCACCTGCCCAGACTTCCTGTTCCAGTGGCCTTGCCGCAGGCATAAGAGGTGAGGTCACTATTGGCCGAAACCACGTGCCCTGTTAAACTCCACCAGTTCTCTTGGTGACATCACAGAGTCAAGAATATGGAAAATACCTCCGAGGGTGCTGGCTTTCACCACGCAGCAAAGGAACCGGAGGCTGGGGAGGGGAGCAATTGACCTCAAGGCTACAAAGCCTTGCTCAAGATTATTGTCATGAAAATCATGGGCTAGATGTTCCTGCAGCTTCGTTTCCTTTCCTTCCCTCTGCACTTCAACTGTTATTTTTGTGCAGAGTTAGGCCCAGGAGCGGGCTGAAATTTTGAGGAAGCCATTCTTCCTTTTGTTACCTTCCTCATTGTTCCAGAAAGGAATTACAGCAGATGAGGCAGATGCATATAACATACATCTGATCACATGAATGGAGAGGGAGAGGGTGGGGAGGGGAAGGAAACTGAACAAGAATAAGAACTTACAACAGAGCCGGAATCAAGGCTAATAGAAAAACACATTATAGGAGGCTAGTCTTCTAGCAGGTGGGCACAAGCTTGAATCAACTTCTCTAGCAGCCAACGTGAAAGCAGAAATCTGGTCACTTATAGAACTCACAGTGTCCATTCAGTGGAAAACAAACAAACAATAGCTAGGACTAGAAAGCAATTTCTCTGGAGTGTCCTTGTAAGAAGCCAGTGAGTGGTGTGAGGGACCTTACGTTCCGTTCCTCAGAGGGTTTTGTATCATCTCCCTTAGGAAATAAAGCAGTCACATAATAATCAGACAAACCGAGCCAAGTGCTGATGGTCAGGGTCTCCATGGAACAGCCAACTTCTCCGGCTACCTTCCTCCTTTCCACTCACCAAGAACAAAGGATAAGCAGAGCCTCTAATTCTCCCTTCTCTGCTCCCTGAAAACCCAGTCCTGAGTGACCATCATGTTGTCCCCTCCTTCCCAGAGATAAAACCAAACTCTTACTAAAGTCTATCCAGCTATGTATTTTATGTCTATTCTGCAACCTCACCTTGTGTATACATATATACATATATTTTCTCTCATGGTAAACTGGGAGATCCCTCAGGAGTATCTCGACCACCCTTATATCCCTGTCACGCCTTGTATAGTGCCGGGTACACAACTGGTGAATGACTGAAAAAATGAAGGCCAACTGAGCCAGCCAGTGGCAGGCAAGGCAGCAGCAGATAGGTGACCGTGTTTTGTTTTGTTCTTGAGATCCAAGTTATTTGCCAAACTACAATGAGGCCCATTATTTAGGTTTTAAACAAAAATGTCTTTGTCCTGCTATTCAGAAAGCAAAAGAGAGGAAGAAATGAGGCATTCAGAACACACGGCCTGACACTAAAATACCAGAAACACACAAAATTCATTGGGTTACCTTGTAGTTGGGATGGGGGGGGAGGGGGAGAAATGGGATGAGTATTGGATACTTGATTAACTTAACTTAAAAAAATTTAAAAAAGAGTGTAATCCTCAAGTTCTGAGGAATACAGCAATAGTATGTTTGCCTGTCTTTTATTGGGCAACCATCATTACAGTAATCATCTTATTCTCAATTGATCTTTGCAACATCCCTATGAGGTATATATCCCTCACTTCATTTTACTTGTGAGAAAACTGGGGCTTGGAGAGGTTCAGTAACTTGCTCGATGTCACAGAATTAGTTGTGAAAGAGTTGGGGATTTGTACCAAGTGTGTCTGACCCTGACTCCAAAGACAATCATCATAATGGCTAGGCTATACCTCCTATTTCTTGCATTAGCAAAGCAGTGGTATATGGCCAGAGGATTGGAGTTATGTTCTTTCTTCCTAATGACTCTTACATCTGTCACTTCCTGCCACCTGTATGAGCATCTCCTTTATTTCTGTCAAGTATATTAACCTCACATCTGACCTCTGACTCCAGAGTTCCACTCCCCTGAGCCATTCAGCATTCCACCACTAAGCTGCAATTGTCTAAAGCACAATGGTGACCCTGTCTCTCTTCTGCTCATCACTTTTCCCTGAATCCTCAAGGCCTGTGGAACCAAGTCTGAACCCCCAAAAAGGAAATGGAGATGTTCCCAATATAGCTTTTCATCCCTTGGTTCTGTTGACCCTTCCTGCCAAAGTCGTCTACACACCCACTGTCCGCAAACCTCACCTGCCTCTGCTGCCTCCGCCCAGCCTGTCCCTCAGCTCCTCCCTCAAGTGCGTGCTCTGTTTTCTTTTGCCCAAATCCTCGCTTTCATCTCCCAGTCCACTCCAAATCTCACCTCCTTTGTGACACTGCTCCAGTATCAGCCCAGTTAGAGGTGGGTCTCCTCGTCTCAAATCTTACAGTGCTTTGGATTAGGAATTCACTCCCTGCCTGGCACTATTTATCATGTGAATAGACATTCGAATACAGATGCATTTATTTTTCATAAGAGAATCTAGTCTTTTTATAGCCAGATACTGTGTCTTTTGGGTCTTAGAATCCCTCTCGGAGAGCTGCAGACTGTGCCCAGCATATAAAAGATATCCATGCAATATATTCCACAAGATGAGCTTTTTAAGCTGTGAAGCATGCCAAGTTCTACATCCTATGCTCTATAATTTCTTCCCTCAGGCACCCCTGAAAAACTCCCTGCAGTACTAGAAGGAACACTTACACAAAACTGTTTACTTTGTTAAGCGGATTATTAAACTATTAGGCTATGAACTTGGCATTAGGATTCCCCACCTAAAAGTGTCTACATTTTAATGCAAGTCTTCGAAGACTTAACTGGAAAAAATAATAGTGTCAGGTACTGTGGCAGGGACCCGTGGGAAGCGGTAGGGCTTTACAGAAGTCTTAGCTTAGCCCGCACAGGCACCTGGCCACTCCATGGGCTCCTGTGTCCAGCCAGCAAGTGCTCCAACTTTCAAACTTTAAAAAGCTTTTGAACCTTAACCAACCTTTCTCTCTAAAACAGGGTAAAAAAGCAGCACACATCATACACCTTCTTCTGAGGTATTTTCCAGCTTAAATATTAACAGAAGACTAGAATCAGAAGCAGTCCTGAAAGTCATTTTCTTCCGTGTGTGTGTGTGTGTGTGTGTGTGTGTGTGTTGCTGACCTCTCCCTTTGGACGGTGAGCTTCTTGGAAGCTAGCGCTGCATCTCATCCCAGCGCCCAGCACTGTGCCAGCACACGCTACACACGATCAAGCCTGAACACACGAATCAACACATGAAGAAATGGCTCAGGGATAACTCAAGGGAACAAAATGGGGAAATATGCTATGCCAAGTCTTTCAAGACAGTCTTTTTTTTTTTTTTTTTTTTTTTTTTTTTTTTTTTTTAAGTAAAATTTTACTTCTTTGGTGCTACCACACTTGGTGCTGCAGTTTACCTCTAGGTTTATCTACCCAGGTATTCTCATCCAAGCACAAGGCACTCTGACGTCACAGTGAAACTATTCCTATCGCAACTGATCTGGGTAAATCCAAGAGCCTGGCGGATTAAGAAAGATTCTTTTAGGAGCTCAATGTAAATGACTCTGTGGGGCAGGCCTCCAAGAAATGAAATGGTCACATCACTGGATTGCAATCCATCCAAGGACAAAAGATCAAATGCACTGTCCACAGACAGGCTCATCACAAAAGAAGCTCAAAACTCCCATCCACATAGGCTTACATTATTGAAAAGGCAAATACTCCTCAGAGTGGAATGCATGTCAGATAGCTTCAAGGGAGAAAGGAGGCTACCAGGCAACTGAGGGGTGTGAGATGGAAAGGAGGTGGGAGGAGGAACCAGAAGAGGAAAAGAACTGGGGAGCTTGCATCAGGAGGAACAAAGGAGGGGCTTCTCAGCCCAGAACAGGCTACCTCCATAGACAGGACACATTACACCTGGTTTATGGGCAGGGTCCTGACCGCAGGGGAAGAGCGCCCCACACTGTTATTCTGTCCTGCCCACCCGGCTCAGCCTGCAGATTATCATGTACATGTTCTACATCGTTTTTTTCTTGGGTGGGCGGGACATGACGTGCCATCACGGACCAGTGCCAGTCACGAACTGTCTTTACTGGTTCACAATGAGATAAGTACAAAACCAAAAGCATGCTGTGATAATTAGAAATATAATTTTAAAAAGTGCACAAAAAAACACTGGCTCTTTACCACCGTTTGTGCCAACACTGCCCACAGTCTAGTCAACGCTGTCTAGCCAAGGGTGTTGACCAGAACCAGAACTGGGAGCATTTGGAGTTCTCCCTTTGCCATCATAAATGAAATCTCGTTCTCTGCTCCCTGTTCATCAGACCTGTCTGCTTCCTGTGTGGCAGGTGCATGAGTCCCAAGCGAGCACAGGTGCTTCCAGGGGTTGAGCACATACTCGGTACCCACAGTGCTTTCATTCTCCATAGGCCGAACCCCCAGAACTGAACCCACCACAGAGAGAAGGAACCCAGCCCCAGAGACCATTAGAAAGCCTCCTTCAGAAACTACAACACCCAGTCACTGCTGCCTCGTGCTCCCTGGCTCCTGGCTAAGAAAATATTGACAGGTATTGAGTCATTCTATTGAAGTTCACTTAGTCTAAAAGTGTGGGCCCCAAAATACACTTAACACACCCAGTTCCCAAAGGTTAAAGTATAGGTGAGAAATGCTGCAGGAACCTGATACTGAGTAAAGCAGTGGTTTCTGACAAGGAAAGGAGGAAGTAAACAACTGCTCAGGCTACAGTTCTGGGTGATCACCACCCACGCTATGCAATGAGCAAAGCATGCCAGGTTCATCTAACATTCTTTTTAAAAAATATATATATTTTTATTGACCCCAAAGAGGAAGAGAGAAATAGAAACATCAATGATGAGAGAGAATCATTGATTGACTGCCTCCTGCACGCCACACACTGGGGATTGAGCCCACAACCCGGGCATATGCCCTGATCAGGAATTGAACCGTGACCTCCTGGTTCATAGGTCAATGCTCAACCACTGAGCCATGCCAGCCGGGCTCATCTAACACTCTTATCCTCACTTTCCCAACCATCCCTCATCTATGCTATAATAACATAATTATCAGGCCACTTGGAAATTGCCAATTTTCTTTCTTCCCGAGAAATGGTGAGTGGTTCCCCCACCTCATTGCATCTAACCTCGCAACATCTTGGTGAGGCAGCTCTGTTCTGATTTACAGATGAGACCCAAAAGACTCACAAGACTCAAAGGTCACACAAGGAATGTGGCAAACAATGGAGACACAGGCTTGGAAACTCAATCGCCTCAGATTGAGGAAGACAAGGTAATACCCACCAGCCCACGTGGGGTCATGAAGAAAACGATTTGGGCTATCAGGCAGTGGTACCTCTGTCCCTCAAGCCCTTTGAGCTGAAATGAGTTCCTAGGAGAAGGACAGGAAGTCTGTCCCACATAAAACTGCAATGAACTAAGTTTGTCTCTGAAACTCCGAAAGTTTCTCCTTCTGCACTTGTACCCCTTCCCTTAATCAGCGCTGTGGTGCCCTCCACCCCCATCAAACCCGGCTGTTAGGAGCTGCTCTCAGCTTCTTGTGGTTTATCTAAATGGGTGTGTTCTCACTCCCAGAGTTTCCATTCTTTAAGGTCTCATCTCTCCCTAAGGAAGGAAGGAAGGCTGAACCATATTGGGGGTGGGGGGGTTGCAGGTGGTTGGTAAATGGGGCATCACCAAAAGGAAAGGAGTATGGTATTCTTCACACTCTTTTCTGAGCTTCCAGAAATACCTGTAAGCGAGAGCCCACACTTCCATTCCTTGAGCATCTACTATGTCCTATGGGTTAGGGATTCTACATTTACTTGCTAATTAAATTCCCAATAATCTTGGTAGCAAATTATTATCATTCCCATTTTACAACTGAGAAAACAAAATCCCAAGAAGTAAGTCACTTCCAGTGCAAGGTCATAGAATCAATAAGTGACTACTGTTAAGGTGTTTTAACCTCTAGCCAACATGAACTCTATAGACATCATGAAACATTATAAATCATCCCAGAGGAGAAACAGTGCAGCCTCCACCCGTGGAAAACAAAGTGAGCCCTCCCAACAGGGAACTGGATAAACAGTGAGTACCGTAATGGAATCAGTGTTCCATTACCCATGTGACATGACCTGACTCATGACTCTGAAAAGCCTTCGGGTGCCTATATTGTAGACTCCCACTCCCTTGCCTATAAACTATGTTGGGAACATCCCCATTCCCCAGGTGTCTCAGCCTTGGACCCTGACTCAGTGAGCCCCACCAGCAAATTCATCGACTTTATCCCAGCTGGAGACTCTGAGGTGAACTGCTTTCACTGAGGAGCTAAATATAAAATGGAATTGCCCTCCCCCCAAGGGGTAACAACTATCCCTTCAAGGGACAAACATCAATAATGGCCATCCCTCATCTATGCTATAATAACATGATTAGCTTTTAGGTATTTAAGGATTTTTAATCATCATGGCTCAAAATGTTTGCGGCAATGTAGCCCCACAACCAACCAGCTACTTCACAGGAAGGATGTACAAATGTACATTTTAATTGGACAGATGACAACATGTATGGAAAACATCAAAAATCAAGACTGAAACATCAGGACACTCTACATCCTTAATAGGCATTTGCTGAGCACCTACTAAGAGCGCCTTCCACACATATTATCCCTAATTCTCACCATAGCCTTTCCTGCTCTATATTATCATTCCTCTCTGTAGTTAAGAGATGAGACTCAGAGAGGTAAAATGACTTGCCCAGGGTCAAATGGCTAATAACTGGCATGTTTAGGATTTGCATTCATATCTGCCTGGTTTCCATGCTTGCGCTTCTCGAATGTACCAGGCTACCATAATTTGATCATAATTCATCTTTTTCCTGAAGTAACTTGTTCCCCTATATTCCTTTTAGAGTACCTCTTCATTCCACTCTGAGGAAAAATCCTTACTTAGTAAAAATAGAAAACAGCTATTGTTGGTGCTGAAAGGAATCACCACTTGATATTCCAATTTTATTTAATACTCAGATTTGTTAGACATTCTGGAAACTGGGAAACAGTAATACCCAGGTTTGTTTACATCAGGGCTCAGAATTTACCAGATATGTCCCTTGCCTGTGCCCACGAGGCCAGTCTAGCACTTGCATGAATAGCCCGCTATTTTGCCTGTACAGCACACCAAGCCACGAATCCCACATGCAGCAGCTCCCCCGTGAGCTCCATCTTACCTTGGGCTTGCTGGTCCTACATCTTCTTCTGGCTCTTCCACCACACCGGCTAGCTCTGGGGGAAGGAAAGCATCTTTGTTGACATTATTCACCCAGCTTTCCTTTGCCCTGTTTTCTCTGTCCTTATTCTGCTCAGCTGAAACAGGAAACAATAAACACAGGAAGGTTATCTCTCACCTCCGTGACCTACAACTCTCATATGGGCACTTATCACGGAAGGTTGGAACCTGGACTTCAGGCCTTTCCTGAGTGCCCAGGCAATCACTAATGTGTTGGTGCATTAAGGATCAGAATTATATCTGCGGGAGAAGTCAGTAGATTCCTCTTGTGTTAGCTCCCCCGCCCCCTCCCAACACACACACCCCAGCAGAGTCTCCTACGTGCAATGTGTAGGTAACTCCAGAGACAAAATTCTGACTGCCTCTCAGTGAGTGTGACCTGAATTGGGGTCAAGACGGAATGTGCAGGGGCCACAGGACACTGAGGACAGGCAGTCCTCCTGGGAACAGAAGCACCAGCATTACCAGGCACTTATTGAATATTTACAGTGTGCTTGACTCAAGGCTGGGCTCTGGGATACAAAGGGGAACAATTGCTTTTAGTCTAGAATGCCCTCCCCGCCAGCCTCTACACACCCGAATTCCACATATTTCTTAACACCCAGTTCAGATGCCAGCACCCCACAAAACCTCTGTGCCCCCTTTTCAGGAATAACCTCTTTTGCCTCTGACACCCAGGGCTCTTGACCTGCACCTCTCAGCTAATTAGCACCAACGGAGTGATGAAGTTCTTTGAATATGTTATCCTATGAGGAGGGAGTGACTTTCCAAGTTCGCGGATTTGGAAATTGAGGATCACAGAGTTCAAGAAACTTACCTAAGGCCACATAACCAGTCAGTGCCAGTAATACTTTTATCAGTGTTAAGAGGATGAAGTAATATAAAGGTTCCCAGTTTCCAAATATGCTCACATTCCAGGGTCTCTTTATATTAAAAATCTAGTTTTTTCAACGGCAAAATGGAGTCCACAGTACAGCCTGTACTCCTCGGGATTTCTGAAGGTCCGGACCGTTTTGAAAATCAAGAGGCCTGTGAGCAATGCATGGCACATACAAAGCAGGCAGCCCTTACCTGCAAGGAGTGTGGCTCTTTCTTTCAGACAGATGAGAGCCCAGCTCTGCCATTTGCCAGCTACCTGCCCTTAGGCATACACAACTTTACAGACCCCTATAGAGAATGGGGATAATACCTACCTTACAAGATTGCTGCTACAGTTAGAAATAAGAGGGAGTAAATGCCTGTCACATATTAGATACTCAAACGGTGATGGTTAATTTCCTTATTGAGTACAGGCTAGGCTAGATGTAGGTGGGGTGTGTTCTCAGGGATAAAGATTTATATCGACTAGCCCAGAGTTAGAGAGAAGACACCAGGGAAATATTTAATGAACTCAACAGGATGTTAAAGAAGCTCTCAAAATACTGTCTTTAGAGTCCCTTAAATCATGCATTTGGTTGATTGAAGAAGTATCAGAGGTCAAGGCCATTGAACAGGGAGGCTAATCTCTTAACTGTCATGGCATTCAGGAGAAAAGT